ACATATACGAATCTCGAAGCAGGTCATAAAGCACATACATCGAGTACAAATTCTAAAAACATGACAGTATCAAAGACAACATTGCTCATTGTTCTCATCGCACTCTTCTCATGTTTGTCTCTCTATCTCTCTCTCTCTCTCTCTCTCTCTATATATATATATATATATATATATATATATATATATATATATATGTGATGCCTAACTACTTCAAAATTTGGAAGGAAACTCTTATGCTAAATTCTGTTTTATAGGTGTATGTATATCAAATGCAAGGGTACTTACTAAACCTGGACAATATGTGCAAGAGTGTGTTGGAGCATCATGTCAACAAAAGCTGGCTCAACCAAATCAATATTTTGGGGTTTGCTTTAAAGATATTGATTGCAAAAACAGTTGTTTCGATTCATGCCAATTTCAAAAATGTAATCGTCACATATGCAACTGCAAAAAATGTTAGAAATCATGCTGTTCACTTTGTTGTTTCTTATTTTTTCATATCTTTTAGTAGAAAAAATTATAAAATAATTTTTGATCATTAGTTTACTTTTGGACAATAAATGTTTGATATGATGCATGAAATGTGTTGTTTCCCAATTTACTTTTGCTTCTTTTGAAAAATATTTTTTGTTTGTTTGTTTTAAAGATATTGGATAGAAGTAAGGTGCACATATTTTGGATATCCAAACTAACAATACCAGTTGTTCTAAAATGCGCTATGCGCTAGTTCTACGGTGACCCAACGCCTATCGTATACCTGTATACGTGGACGCATAAGCAGACATATATATATACAAATTATTGATGATTAATACGAAAATGAAATAATATTAATACTAAGATAAAAAAATGTTTCCAATACTAAGTTCTTAAAATTAAATAACTAAATGAGAGTACGAGGAATTTTTGTTGACATCAACTCTTCAATTTCAGCACCAGCACCAGCATCATCATCCTCATCACCACCATCACAAATCTTCACAGATTTTTGCAAGTCATCATCATCTTAACTCCTCTTGTTTTTATTTTTCTTCTTTGCTTCATCAATAGCTGTTTGCATTTTTCTTGATCATCTTTTGTTGATGGCGGACAAGCAGAAACATTTCCTGGAATTTTGGCAATATGCTATTTGATCCTAAATGCACCACCAAAAATTCATTTTCCCACATAGTTTACACCTCACCTTATCTGGATTACACAACATCATGTATTCCCAAGCAACATCTTTGGAAGTTCTTTTTAAACCTAAAGTTTCTGAAGATCCTGCGGTTCATACTTAAATTTGCAGATGATCCAACATTACCTCTTCAATGATTTCTGAAATTTTTGTAAAAACAAACGTGTAGTGAGAACAAACTGATTATACTTTGTAACCATATCAACGAGAATTTTTAGTCTATAAAACTTTACACATTGTCTGATTGATTTCAGTCACAAGCAACTTTTTTCCGTTTCACTTTTTGCAACAGATCTCTTTTAGTTTAAATCCTTGGTGAATTTTATTTGATTTCTTTTCGAAATTATTTTCTTATCCCAGACATAGCAAATGATTGAAGAGATTGATAAATCTATTGTGAAACCTTAGCCTAGATTTATTGGGGGTAATAATCAATTGTATTGATTCTTATTGGGAGTTGAAATTAGATTATCTAATCTCTTAGATGATGGAATCTTAGTGTATGTGCTGTGAAACGCTTTTTTGATCGGAGCCTATGTGCTGATGTGACACTCCTTTTTTTTTCTCTTTAATGTGATGCACGTTACTTTGTGTTTTATTAATTCTCCCTGCAGCTAATGATGGCTAGGTTAAAATTTCAAGCTCATTGAAAGAACATAGTCTCGATGCTGCAGAAGATCTGAATGGTATTTTTAGATTAGTTTCTTTGTTTATTATTAACTGTTTCTAGCAGAAAAAATATTTTCCCTGTTTCAAACTTACAGAAAATACATTAGCATGCCAATGACGAGGAAGTTGTAAAGAGAATAGATATGCAGCATCAACAAGGTTACTCTGGGAGGCAAAGTGATATAGATACATATATGGCAGGTGAGTATATCTTTAGATGTTTATTTTTCTTTGTACTAAGCCATAGTAAAATGAAGGCTCCTCAAGAGATGAGTTTCTACAGAACAAAAAAAAAAGAAGAAAAAATCAAACCTTGAGGTCGCTTCCTGTGTAACCTTCTGTCATCATTGAAAGTTCCTTGTAATCCAAGTTTTCGTACACTTTCTCTTTTGCCAACAATGTCCTTAATATCTTCTCTCTGTTCTCCACGCCTGGTAGTCCCACCATAATCCTACGGAAGAAAAAGAAAATAAAAAAAAAGTATTAAGGGTAAACAAAAGGTAGGTAAAAAAAAAAGGTAGGTAGCTTGGGAGAAAAGTTACCTTCCTTCAAGTCGTCTGATAAAGGCCTCGTCTAGATCAAAAGGTCGATTAGTAGCTGCAAGGACTAAGATACGCTCACCAGGTTTAGTCATCAAGCCATCCCAATGTCTCATAAACTCATTCGTAATCTTTCTCATGGCTTCGTTTTCTCCAACTCTCGTTCTCTGTCCCAACATATTATCAACTTCATCCACGAATATAATCGTTGGTGACACTTTCGAAGCCAGAGTAAAAAAAGCCCTAACATTCTTCTCGTCCTCTCCAAACCATTTAGAAGTTATGGTCGACATGAAAAAGTTTATGAAACTTGCTCCTGCCTCTCTCGCTATGGCTTTAGCCAGCATTGTATTACCGGTCCCAGGCAGACTGAAGAGTAGAATTCCTCTGCAGGGCTTTAATAGACTTCCTGTGAAGAGATCTGGTCGGCGGAGTGGAAGCATTACAAGCTCTTTTATGTCTTCAAGTGCATCAATGTCATCGAATGTCTTCCGCTGATTTCTTCTGCTGGGATTACTTCCGGTCTTATCCATTTCTCGAACTCGTTATCCGGTGGAACCTCCTATTCCATAGCTTAACAACATTGGCAGAGTTGATAGATGAAACATTTTTTTTTTGAATACAAGGTTCTGAGCTGAAGCCCGTTATCCATAACATGAAATATTAGTTTCATCTCACTAGTCACTCGTATGAGATAACAAACTAAGTCACACATTGGAGAATTATCTGAATTAGATAAGGAGAGTCCAATATATAGAGAAGTCTAACTTTAATTAGTATGAGGCTTTTTAGGAAAGAAATCAAAAGTAAATCCACAAGGGCTTGCCTATTAGGCCGATAATAGACAATATCGTACTAATCGAACGATAAATAGTTGGACATGGGCTCACACAATTCTAACAAATGGTATCAGAGCGGTTTGATGAGAAATCTGCAAGAAGACTAAAATACATTTTGAGTAGAAATGGTACCTTTCGAGTTAGGAATGAGAGATGTGTGTGGCAGAGATCAAGTCAAAAGATCTTGGAAATCAGTTGTGGGATACGAGATGAATGTGATTCTTACTTGGAGAATTAGACAAGTAGAATCTATACTTGTCTAATATATAAAGGTAAACCAAAAGTAAATCCATGACAGTTTGCTATAGATTCAAAATAGACCAATATCGTATTAGTCAGAGAATAAAGAATTATTGGACATGGGCTCACACAGTTCCAACAACTCGAACTATAAAACTCTGACACAATGGTCAGTGTCATTTCAGTTGAGCTAATGACCTTTGGTAGATAGATAGATCAAACTTACCGGAGCTTTAGGGGTTGCTTTCTCAGATTTAGCTTCTTTCTCCGGTTCGTTCTTGCTGCTTGCGGCGGTGAAGCTCTCTGGTTTGGTCTCCGGCTTAACATCAGCTGCTAATTAAGCTTTTGGTTCCTGTTTCAGTTAAAGAAAAGAGAAGCGTTTTATGTCATAATCCTCTGTTTTCAGCTAGAAAAAAGAGTATAGATAGAGATCTTGGATGTGTCTTCTTTAGCATTTTGCTTCAGATTCTCACGACCACTTGCTTTTCCTTCTCTGAAAAGACTAAATCCATGCGACAAACTAACCACGCAATAAAAAAAAAAAAAATATCAGTAACATTATCTGCATTGAGGTTTGCTTCTAGCACAAGTTAGGGTTTTTATTAACCTTGTGGAAGAGATAACGAGCTTTCCATTTCTTTACTCGAGATCTTTGTTGTTCATGAGATGATAGGAGAGCGCAGAGACGACAATCTCCTCAATGTAATTGCCTAAAACCTTTGTATCCTCAAAAGATATTGATTCTAGGTAGTCGCAGAAACCCAGAATGTAGAGAATGCAGCATAAGGGAAATGTAAATCAAAATGTTCATAATAAGCTTATTTAGGCCTATGAGACTTAGGCAATAGGTCTCTGCTATTTAATGTAATCCGGTTCTCATTGCCTTATGCTGCTATGCAGAGAGTTTGGCGTACCAATCTTTTATTGCAATCTGCTATTTAATGTAATCTCAGGGGAATTTTGAGTTTTACCAAGAGAAGTTGTCAATTTCTTCTGATATATATTTAGTCGTAGTCTCAGCTTCGAAATTATTGGCTCTTTGAAACTACGTTTCGTTTAAATTATGGTATTTGAACATATGAATTGCTATTTTGCTTCGTTTTAGTTACGATTTTTTCTGTATGTGCAAAATGCAAAGTTTGGCTTTATTTATAAACTACATTGTCATTGTTGGACTAAATTCTTTCAGTCTAAAGATTCTTTTTTCTGGGGGTGTTTACGTTCTTCTTTTCGGGGGATCATCCAGTATGTACCTTCTGTAAGACCTGAAAGAGTTATAGATCCAGCGTTTCACACAAGTCCACAGAGATCAAGGGGACTCAATGATTCTAGTGATGTTTTGATTTGTTTTGCCTCATCTTTGTATCAGTCTTTAAATCTCTAGTCTCTATGGTAATACAATCTCTTTATAGCTCACTTTGTCGGTGTGCTGAAGAGTTCAAACTATGGAAGAAGAACGATGAGTTCAAGGCTGCTGTCAAATCCATAGGAGAGACAATCAGCACCAAGAGATAAACTAAAGTCCAACCTAGTTTCATGACCGAGGCTATGACCATTGGAGCTTGTGCTTCTCCAATCTTTACGACGTTGTCAACGATCTCAAGGGTGGCTACTATGTTTCCATTTACCCTGTTTTTTTTGGTACTTTGATTATACGCGAAAACATATTATATATTGTATTCGGATGCAATTCATTTGCTTCTTTCTTTTGAAATAAATGATACCCTGAAATAAATGCTTCATTGTTAAACCTATTTACGTGTAGCTGACGTAGGGAACACACTAAGAAATGAAGCAAAAGTTGTTTCGGTTCTAAAATAGTTCTGGTTTTGATTTTTAAAAGACTTAACTGGGTTGTTACTGTTTTATTTAACAACTCATGTACATACATGGCCAAAAATATAAATGTGTTAGTTATTGTTTAACAACTCATGTACTGTTTAGATAGTTATGGTTTAAATTATTACTAGGTGATCCGCACCCTGTGCAGGCATAAAAAAAATATTGTGATATCAGTTGAGTTGGATTTTGATATAAACATATCTTCAATAGTGAACTCATTGATCTCCAAGTATCGCAGGATTTTCTAAGTTTTTTGGTAATATGTATGAGTCTGAGTTTTTTCTAGAGTGTTGTGAATAGAGTTGATATCGTCTCATGGACTACTATTGATCGGAACCGGCTTGATGGTCCAAAGATAGGGAGGTGACTTGGTTGTTCTATGAACCATTTTTTATGGTTTTAGCTTAGTTTCTAATTTTTTTCACGAGATGTTGCGATTACAAGCAGTGATCCTGCAAGGAAACCTATAAAATATACCCATTGAATTTTGAATAAATTTGTATTTCTGCTTTAATTTTTTCAATCCCATTTGTATCTTTTAAAATTATGATTGTATCATAAGCTGTTTTGAGTTTTTTACTTACCAAAGTACATATTATTAATAAAGTTGCTATTTGGGTTTGATGCAGGGTGGATGTTGTAGTCTTTGTCATCTTAGTCATCTTAGCATTCTTAGTGTTCTCAATCGTTTCTTTGTACTTCAAGCGATTGCAGCTCGCCTTCATCTTGGTATGTGTCACTTTGCTACTACTTGTTTACATGAAGGTCACAAAACATGTGAGATCGGCTAGGAAGAAGAAGCGAAGGATGCTTCTTCCGCTGTCTATGTAAAGAAACACCAAACCCCATATGAGAAGCTCGCCTTTATATTATCACTAAGTGAAACTGTGTTGTATAATTTCTGTAAATTTATATTTTCTATTTAATTCAAAAATTTATATTTTTAAACAAGAATTTTAAAAGCAGCGGCATATTAAAATAAAATATGATAAAAATTCAAATACAATCCATAAGTAATATAAAATAAGAATTACAATTCTCAATCAAAAAAAAAATTCCAATCAGAAACCGGCACAAAATTATTTAATTTTGTAAGCAATCGTAAGATATCAAATATCCTAACAGATTTCTAAATTTTATTGAGAGCAAAACTATATTAAATTGACATACCGTTATCGAAATAGTCTTAAAACTGGTTTGTAGTCAACTACAACCCGTCTTTCGTCTGTGCTATTCTATCTGTTAATAGAAAAAAAAAACAAATGTAAGAATTTAATAATTCAAAATCTCTATCGAATAAAAATAGACTAATATTGTGTACCGTTCACTGTGGAATATTCTGAAAAAACTTGTTTGTAAACATTTGTTGTTTTTGTCTGTGGCTTTTTCTTTTATCATTTTGTTTTCCAGAGACCCGAAGTTAACTATTTGGCCAATAACAACTACATAACAAAAACAGAAAATATCAGGAACAAGTATAACACAAATGATGTTATTTAACTTAAAACAAGTCTGGTGGCTCATTTTAGTCACGCGACTTATGTTTTAGAGTATTAATGGTTAGAGTATTAATACAAATCCAAGCTACATGATAAATGTTAATGAAACTGACTCACCAACCAAACAGCTGTTATTAAGCTTTCCACCAAGAATGTCATCGTAGTCCGCAAAATACTTTTAGGGGACTTCACTTGGAAACTCTTCAGCTTTGGCAACAAAAGTTGTTGGAAAGAATCCAATTCTGTACGAATGTGTGGGATGTGCCTGTTTCTCCCCTTGTGTTGCTACTTCCTCATAAAGCCCCTCCCTCCATACGTCCAGTTGACCATCCCGAACTGCATCCCGTGTTTGACAGAGGGAAATTTGTCGCTCCAGATTGCGCACCTCCCGATCTATGCGCGCGGCTTGTACGGTAGTCACCAATAGCATCGTACACTTTGAACAACTGGAGGACAGTCGCATCTTCCTCATATAGCTTGTCTTCATACTTTTTGATCAGTTGTTCACCAACTGAAGCATGAATTCTTGTCCCCTGATACGGAATATAAAATTCATGAGTTAGACAAAGTGAACGATAAAATTGAGATATGAAACAGTATTTTTCCCAAGAAAAAGTTGAGTTTATTGTATAGTAAAAATAAAATAAAAGACGAATCTGAGATGTCAAAAAATGTAGTAATATTTTTACTTACTTCTTTATCAACAAAAACCATTTCAATGGTGTTTCCTTATTCTTTGTTATAGTTTCTCCGCAAGCGAATAATCCTAACTTCAATACGCGACGTATCTTTACACGGTTTTAATTCTCTAACATAAGAAACAATGCTTTTGGAGGCTTGAACAAATGCCATTCTTTTTTAAAAAATTGAACGCAAAAGAGAAGAATGTTTGTATTTTAAGACCGTGGGGGTCGCCTATATATATATAAGTTCTTATAATAATGACGTTTCCGTTATATTATTCATAATAAAGATTGAAATTGTTTAAAGAAAGATATTAAAATTGTACTGTCATAAATTGATTTTCATATAATATGATTTTAAATTGGGCAAGTAATTCATATTAGAAAGGTAAATTATTAAAAACAAACAATCTAATTAGAATCCCTAAGGTAAATTGCATTTAAACAATGTAATAAATATGATATCAAGATGCATAAGTTTTCCTTGGGGAATAATAAGAAAGTTATTAATACACGCAAATTAAATTACTTAATTTAATAATATTGAAATTGTAATTATCCCCACATAAAACTTATTAATATACAATATCAATGTAATAATCGTGCGCAAATAATTAAAATTATTATTTTTGGCAAAACCAAAAATTAAATTATAAATCGTTTTAGAAAATCACGAGAGTATCCAAAAGGCATAGCACCTAATAATGTTTTCATACCTCCTATCAAAGCTCATCATGATCCATCTTATCCCAGGCATCATGCAAAAATAAAGTATACATAACGTGAGTGAAAGCAGAATCAAGTCGCCTAAAAGTAGAAATACTTTGTATGACTCTCCACAAAATGGACAAGACTCTATCTAACTTCAGTCCACAGCTAGGTCATATGCTGCAGGTGGAGCATAATTTTCTCCAATAACAGTGACCACTTAACGCTACCAGAATACAATTGATTTGACTACCACACTGGTTAATGCATTTTGGCCTCCAAACATACAATTGTGCAAATAATTAGATACGACCTAGAACCAAACAATCTCATAGAGTAAGACAATCAAATTATTACATGGCAAACAATAAGTTTGATTCACATATTTCTTTTCACATACTGAGGCGAAAAGGTTCATATTCTCAACCATACAGAAATTTTACAGCTCAAGATCAAAAAGGGTTGTGTAGCAGCAGTGAGTGTAAGGAGCCTACCTCAGAAGTATGATCATAATCCTCTAGAACTTCAACCCTTACAACAAAAACATTTAATTTTATCATAATCCCAAACCAATTCCCCTCAAAGAGAACTTGAGAGTGATATATACATAAGTGTACTCACACTTGACTAACTGATGCAGCATAACATGTGATCTCAACCGATCACAAATTCCTATTCTTTTAAGTATTTCCTTTTCTAATGTTAGTTTTATTTCCTTATTCTAGATTACAGATGTTTAGGTCATAGCCTCTATAAGCCTTATAAATAGAGAAGCTATGAGAGGTTTGGGTTTCACGTTGAATTTAATAAAAGCTTTCAGTTTTCTAAAAGAGTTCTAAACGAACACTGCGAAGAGTATTCGCAACCCTAAGAGTTCAAACGAACACTGCAAAGAGTATTCGCGCCTTTTCTATCAATACTTTCTCCACACGTTAGGGTTATAGCTTCCGCTCTCTATCACTAACCCAGTCAAAGCAGAAAACCTATAAGTCATTACCCTTGCCTCAGCTTCCTGGAGGGCTATAGCAAAATCTTCATCATCTGAATAACCAAGCGTCTCCTGTAACAAATTCTAAAACAGATTAGAAACACTTTAAATTCTATAAAAGATCATGTACTCAAGTCTCTAGACAAACAGTAGAAAACTACACTATCACATTGGTCTGAACAACCACACTCCCTACACAACAGTACGAAGACTCAAGTAACTCTAAAACAATAACAGATATACATATATACTCACGTAGATTCACGAACAGTGACGATTCAAATCTTAGTTTGTCAACAATCCGATTTCGAACTACCAAGAATGATCAAAAGTACAGAAAAACTATCAGGTATCTTCTCGAGTATACGGGAAAGAAAAATCCAATCAAATCAACGAATCCTATGATTCTCAGAGCTGCGACAAAGAATCGAATCGGATTGGAGAAGACTCACAATGTATCGGAAGACTCGCTCCCTACACAACAGTATGAAGGCTCAAGTACTTTAATCTGTGTGAGTATATATATATACTCACACAGATTCACGAACAGTGACAATTTAAATCTTAGTTCGTCAACAATCCGATTTCGAACTTCCAAGACGGATCAAAAGTACAGAAAAACTATCAGGTATCTTCTCGATTCTACGGGAAAGAAAAATCCAATCAAATCAACGTATCCTAGGAGTCTCAGAGCTGCAACAAAGAATCGGATCGGAGAAGACTCACAACGTATCGGAATCTGAGAGACAGAACATTCGGATTGATTACACGAATTGGATTTTTGGAGCTTCAATGGAATCCGACAGAGAGAGAGAGAGAGAGAGAGAGAGAGAGAGAGAGAGAGAGAGAGAGAGAGAGAGAGAGAGAGAGAGAGAGAGAGAGAGAGAGAGAGAG